ACTAAAATAAACATGTAACAATAGAATTTGGATAAATCGAAATACTTACGTGAACGCAAACAAGATCGTGAAATGCAGATAATGACCACAAAAAAAAAATTAATATTAATGAATAATGCCTGACAAATTTAGTCGTGTAACATTTCCCAGAGATTATCTTTTTTTGCTAATAGAATCTGAAAGTAAATGACTTGAAAGAATTTGCGTAGTTAGTTTTTTAAAAATGCGACACGTACCACTTAGACATGTAAGAGATTATATATTTTATACTTTAGATATATATTATTATTTATATATTATTGAATACGGCTAATAACCAGAGAAGTTGACGCCGTCAAAAAAAAATAATTTTAATAATAATAATAATAATAATATAATTAATAATATATAAAATCACAATAATTACAATGTAAGAAATTAATAATTATAATAATAATATATATCTATCTTATAATTAACTATAATAATGAGAATAATAATAGTAATCATAAATAATAATAATAATATTAATAATAATTGATATAACATACCACCCATACATTTATTGACACCTATATACAGGGTGACTTTGAAGTTGAGTCATTAATTTTCAGATAACGATTGTAGAAGGAATATAAACCAAAATATGTGTGTAAAAATAAAAAAAAATAAAAAAAATTTTTACCTTGTTTTATAAAGTATCCCTCCCGACAAGTATTTCAGTGCGGACCTGTATTTGATCGTGAGGTCCCCTGTGAGGCCTTAAGTCACCTGATTCACGAGCCCGTTGTACTACATTAACAAAGGCACGAGGGGTTGGTTGCACTCGATTTGGAAACCGATCCGCATAAACATGAGCCATTTTTTATTTCGTTTGAGCCACGCAACAGATACAACTATTCACTGACACTTACTGTATACAAATGAATGAAATAATTCGTTCCAAATTCTTTCGCTTTTTTGTTTCCGATGCGATGAACCGATACGACGGATTATATCCGTTGTCGCCAAACACGAGCACATTGAGACAGGGCGGTACTCAAACTTCCAAAGGGCTATAACTTTGTTACTTTAATTTTACCAGAAAAATGGTAAAGGAAAAAAACATTTCTTTTGATCAGATCTACTCACTGTTAAAATAAATGACTCAACTTCGAGATATATGTTTGAAGTCACAAACTAGATAAAGTTTATACAGAGTCTGTCTTCTTGCTCTACACACGATCACTGATCACTAGGATCACATGCACTTAAATATTCACTTACGGTATAGAAGCAGTTTTTTAACAAATAGTTTTTGACAAACCTAGAGAACTGTTTGTTAGACATCTTCTCAATATTGGACCGCTTATGATATCTAACAAAGTTATTGTAAAGCGACACATTAATCTTATTGTGTTGTGTCATGGCGATCCTAGATTGCGGTAATGATATATCATTAGCGTATCTTGTATTATAGCTGTGTGTCTCTGATCTTATCGAAAAAGTACTCAGGTTTGCGTGAACATGTAAAAGGGTCTCATGTATGAGCAGGCATGCTAACGGCAGTATGCGCATCTCTTTGAACAAACCGCGGCACGTATGATCGTAGGAGACGCCAGCTACAATCCGTATAGCAGCCTTTTGCATTGTAAATGCTTTTTGGGCATTGACAGAATTACCCCAGAGGATGATACCATACGACAGATGACTATGAATGAGGCTAAAGTATACAGTTCTCATGGTTTGTCTGTGCAAACACTGAGCCAGTTGCCGCATGATAAACATCTGTCTGGAAATCTTGGTACACACCTGGTCCACATGCTCCGACCAGGTCAAGCGGCTATCCACAACGATCCCTAATAACTATACGGATGATGAAGTCTCATTCCATTTGTCTGATGTTATTCACAGCTTGCTGGTTTTTGCTTCATTAAGTTTGAGCTTGTTTGCGGAGAACCACCGCTTAACCTGGTCGAAACTGTGGGCCTCGTCAAGTTGGGTAGCCTTGGAGAGCAGAGTAGTGTCGTCTGCAAAAGGTAGCATTTGCTATTGTTGACATTTTGTGGGGGTCATTGATGTAGATTAAAAATATAGAGGGCCAAAGACAGAGCCCTGGGGTACCCCGTGCGTAATCGGTAGAACCTGGGATTCTACTCCATCAAGGCTAACCATGTGTCTCCTATTAGCTAAGTATGATCTCATAAGCTGTGATGACTTGCCACGGATCCCATAGTACTCCAATTTGTCAAGCAGTATAACTGCGTCTACATAGTCAAAAGCCTTGGTTAAGTCACACATAGTTGCTAGAGCGGTGGTTCTCTTGTCAATGCACTCTAATGCATCCTCAAGAAAACTAAGCATGGCTTTAATGGTTGAACAGTGCTTTCGGAAACCAAATTGGGAAGCTGAAAGGAGGGAGTGCTTTTCAAAGTACTTTATTAATTTTTCTTTGATTACAATTTCGAATAATTTACTTATTAATGGAATTATTGTGATTGGCCTATAGTATCGAGATTTATATAATTATATAATAAATAACAATAATAATAAAATAATAATAATAATAATATTAAGAATAATTATTTATAATAATAATATATAATAATAGTAATAATAATTATAATAATAACTATCATAAAATAATAATAGTAATTATAATAATAATAATAATAGTAATAATTGTAATAATAATAATAATATTAATAATAATGTTAATTATAATAATTATAATGATAATAAATTATAATAATAATAATAATAATAACTATAATAATAATAATTATAATAATAACTATAATTAATACTATAATAATAATAATAAAATAATATATATAATAATATGTTACATCATTAGTAAATCGACAGCGCGAAAACGAATAGCTAGGACCCCAAAGCAAACCCTAACTGGCAGAGGCAGCAAGTAATAAAGTTTTGAGCCTCAGGAGAGACTTATCGAATTTAGTTCACATACAAAATGGCAGGCTGTCCGCAGAGTCGGCTAAAGGGAAGATGCTGTTAAACAAATACGTCACAGAAGGAAAAACGCTAATAAGAAGATAGAGGTAATGAAACAACAAATCTCGGCCACTGCTCAAGACTCCGAAGGTACAAGAATCGACAAGAGCAGCACAAGCAAAATAGTCTCTTTAATGTCAATCCCAAAGCATTTTATAGGGAGCTGCGAGAAGGAAAAAGGGAACCCATTGAAACTCCAGCCATCTCTACAACTGAAACGTATTGGAAAAGTATTTTCGAGAAAAGTGTTAACCACAACGAGAACGCAAAGTGGCTGAAAACGGTAGAAAGGGATAGAGCCACAACTATGAGCTGGCAAAATATCAGTGTCGTGAAGTCAGATCAGCTCTGCAGCAGGCCCAAAATTGGAAAGCTCCTGGTATAGACCAGACACCTAATTTCTGGCTGAAACATCTAGTGACCACACACGAAACAATAACAATGATATAATAATAGTTACTTCGATAACGGAACAGATATCCCGAACTGGCTGCCAACATACCTTCTTCCAAAGTCTGGAGATAGTAAGGACCCCAAAATTACAGGCCTATCACCTGTCTGAACACTTTGTACAAATTGTTAACTAAATTAGTAGCCAGCAGAATATCTGATTATGTAAATGATAATAAGATAATACCAACTGAACAAAAAGGCTGTGGCAAGGGCTCTTTTGGTTGCAAGGATCAGCTACTCCTCTCGAAAGCCATTGTAGAAGATTGTAAAGAGAACAAAAAAAATCTTAGCATTGGATGGATTGATTATAGAAAGGCATTCGACAGCGTCCCGCACAGCTGGCTCCTGAAATCTCTGAAGCTTATAGGAACATCTGAGAAGGTCATTGATCTATGTAAGCGATTGATTTCGCTATGGAGTACTACCCTGTTAGTCAGTAATAATGGGGAAGAAATAGAGTTAAGACCCATACAGATAAAAAGAGGTATATATCAAGGTGATACCTTGTCACCTCTTCTGTTAGTGATTGCGATGGTTCCTTTAAGTACGCTGCTCAACGAGGCCAACCTAGGTTACCAACTTAAAGGAGCAAATGATTGTCTCTCCCATTTGCTAATATGGATGACCTGAAGCTCATATCTCCCAGCCAAAACAAACTGAAAACGTCTCTCAATATTGTAAAAAAATTTAGCGACGACATACAGATGAGCTTCGGTCTCGATAAGTGCGCTGTAGTCACATTCAGGAGAGGAATGCATTATGACTCTGCTAATATAATAGTTGATGAAGGACAGATGATCAAATCACTAGAACATGGCGGAGTGTACAAGTACCTGGGAATTAAAGAAGGCTCACACATCACCCACCCACGATTCACTGAAAGCTGATATTAGACATGAGTATATAACGAGAGTACGTAAAATTCTGCAAACTCAACTCATGTCTAGAAACAAGATAACAGCAAATTGGAGCTCTTGCCATGCAGTGCAGCTGTGGTATAATCAATTGGACATTGGATGACATAAGACAAATGGATCGCAAAACAAGATAACTAATAACAACACATAATATCCTTCATCCCAAAGCAGACATCGACAAATTATACGTGCCACGAAAGAAAGGGGGACGAGGACTAAAGCAAATAGAAGAAACGTACAACAATACTATCTTCTCAGTAGGGCAGTATATTCAAACTAGATCTGAGCAAGACCGCCTACTACAGATGTTACTAGCACATGACAATAGGAAACCAACAAATAGATCTATTGTAAAGCTAGTAATAAATCAAATTAGAAGCTGCGGAAGCCGGACATACGGTCGAGCGAGGTAACAGGTCGATCAAACTGTACTTGAAGCAATGTGTCGAAGAGAAATGGCGGAGTAAGCCTCTACACGGACAGCATATCCGTCAAATGGAGGAGCTTCCAGTTGACTTAAGACTGTCATTTGCAGTGGCGGCTCGTGGTATTTGAGTTTGGGGGGCGCAAAATCTAATTCAAAAAACGTTATGCCTCTGTATTAAACAATTCGGCTGCCTGTAAATGACCTCGAAAGAAAAATCTATCTTTTACTTGCATTGTTATTATGTTGCACACTTCTTTGGCAATGACCCCTCGTATACTGTCGTCAGTTCTTCTTCTTTTATTAGATTCAAACTTTGTTTCGGTATATTTTTTAATATCATCAATTTGACCTCTTATATTGTCGGTACTCTTTTCAAAAATTACTAAGTCCTTTTGTAATTGAACACTATCTTGATTTCTTGACTGCAGCTGGTTATAAAGGATGTCAACATGCGGAAATATTTTATGGAATACTGTCAACCCAAACAAGAATTCTTGATCTTCTAACGCTCTTCTCAAACTTGAAGCTTCATTTAAAGTAACACCTCTATTACATCTCTCTTCTATTTCTTCAAACACCTCTATGAGTTTCTCACGATGTTCATAGACAAAGTAAACTGTACGAATGTTATAGTTCCATCTAGTAGCAGCTACTCTGGGGATTTTCTTATTTATAATTTCTTCTAAAACATCACATCGATGGGTAGAGTTCGAAAAAAAAGCTGGTATGGCCGACAAATTATTAAAAAACACACGTACTTTTGAATTTTGTGATGCACTTTTTTGCATAATAAGGTTTAGCTGATGGGCATAACAATGTATGAATTGTGCATTAGGATATTTTTCTTTAATGTCAACTTGAACCCCACCGACAGAACCACTCATGACATTCGCACCATCATATGTTTGTGCTATCAACTTTTCAGGACTTTGTAAAAGAAGCGGATCAATTTCAGTTTTCTATGCAAGTTTTTAAACCTACTGATGTCTTATCTTTAACTCTCAAAAAACTCCAAAAAAGTTCTTGTATGCCGCCTTCGTGGAAATATCTGAATATTAAAACCATTTGGCACTGATTTGATATGTCGGTCGTTTTTCATCATGCATTGAACTGACAGGAAATTTGCGTTTTTAATTTGCTGCAAAATTTCTTCTCTACAAACTTGTAGCATGCTATCTAATATGTCATTTTGAATGCTTTTAGAAGTTCCCTTGAATACCGTGGCATTTTTTAAATGATTTTTAAGGGCCTCATCTAACTCAGCGGTAAAATCAACTAATTCTCTAAATATTCCTCGATTCAAAGACTCTTCAGTCTCATTGTGACCTCTAAGTGCCAATTCAAAGGCACTGCAAAATTTGACACAGCTTATAATCCGTTTCAAAATGAGCCGATTTTTTCTCACTTTTTCGTTATGTTCAACTATACTTTGTCTATAAGCAGAACTTATTTGTGATGCTATATTTGTCTTATCAAGAACTGCAAGCGCCGTGCACGAATTAATGTGTCTTCGGGAAGCTTAATGCTTTCTAATCTTTTCAGGAAGATGATGCAGGTCTTCGATTCCCGTCCTTGACCAACTAGAGTCCATACCTGACGCGGCATTATAAAATAATAAACAGGGGAAACAGTACAATAAATTTGTCTCCTCACATCCACATATCCAATTATTTTTTTTATATGTATCTTTAGAAAAATGACGGGTAAAACTTCTTTTTTCTGCCTTCCGTTCACTCACTTGCGTTAACTTTAAATCCGGCAAAGGTCTGCCCAATTGCTTAATTTCTAATTTATTCTGAAGGGACGCGTCTGTAAAATCATTTTTTAAAATGTTACTGACACTATTCATTGTCATTTGCTACTTTATTCTGCAATAAAACAAAACCCGTCACTAAAAATGCAGCGCGTAATCAATATTCAATAGTAAACAACAAATGGAGCTAGCTATGCGAGACGCAGCGAGGCCGCAAAAATAATGCGCCCTAGCATAGCTATTAATACTGTACCTCGACTCTAACCGAGTCGTATCGAAAGCGCTCGAAAACACCGACGTGCGGCCGCGAGGTTCGATGCGGCCCGTATAGTCCGGGCAAATAAGGATAAAATCGACTGATTTCTTACAAAATAATTAGGGTGACGTTTAATATAGTATGTTCAATAAAATGTTAGCTAATTAGAAAAAAAAATAAAAATGGTTTTATTCAATGCTTTTTTAACGGCATTTTATCTGGGGGGGCGCGCGGCCATGCGGCCTTATGGTAGAGCCGCCACTGGTCATTTGGATGGTTACAATACAGAGATTTAAAAGGGGAAACCGAAAGCTTGCTGGTGGCAGCACAAGACCAAGCCTTGAAAACGCGTTACATTGAGCAAGCAATACACAAGACGAGGAATGACGGTAAATGCAGATTACGTCACATTCATAATGAAACTGTTGAACATATAATATCTGCATGTCCAATACGAGCGCCAAAAGAATATACTAACAGGCACAATAATGTCTGCGCAGCCATCCATCTAGAAGTGTCTCGCCACCTTGGTTGTCCAATAAAATCGACGAAATGGTATGAGCATCACCCCGACAGAATAACACGAAGTGAAGATGGTAGTATCACAATAATGTATGACCATCCCGTTATCACGGATAGAGAAATAAAAGCAAACAGACCAGATATTGTTATAAAAACCACCGAAATATGCTATATATTGACATATCGGTACCTGCAGATAGACATGTCATACAAAAGGAGGCTGAAAAGCAACTAAAATACAAATCATTACTCATAGAAGTGCAAAGAATGTGGCATACAAAGGCAGATGTTATTCCCGTAGTGATTGGTTCAACTGGATATGTCACTCGCAACATCCTAGATAACCTAAAAAGGATACCAGGAGATCATAATTTCTATCAGTTACAGAAGATTGCCTTATTAGGCAAATCGCACATAATTAGGAAAGTTATAACATAACCAGCTCATAAACTACAAAAATCTGTACCCCTCAGGTCCTCGGCGACGACCCGGTGTAGAGGTCAAACCGTTCCATATAAGATACCGCTACTAATAGAAAGCGGTCCTGTAGCGTGAAAAAAAAAGATAAAATAATAATATAATAATTATAATTATAATAATAACTATAATAATAATAATAATAATAATAATAATAATATAATAATATTAATAATATTAATAATAATAATAATATAATATAACATACTAATAATAATAATATAATAATAATAATAATAATAATATTAATTATTATAATAACTATCATAATAATAATTATAATAATA